TCTATTGGCATTACTTTTTCAAAAAAATTCTGTATTTTATTCCCAATCAAAGAGTCAACATAGCCACTGTAACCTCTGGCAACTGATGCAGTTCCTATTAATATTAATAACAATAATAAATAAAACTACGGTATTTATTTATTACTTATCATTTAAAAGAAATAATAGAATAATGCTAAGATAATTCAATGCCGAAACATTCTATAATTAAAAAAATATATATACCAATGGCATATTCCAGGATGAGATTCCATCCAATAATAAATGCAATAAACTCTCCAACTGTAACATAGCTGTAAACATAAGCCGATCCTGCTTTTGGAACTCTCGCTCCAAATTCTGCATAACAAAGACCTGCAGAAGAATTAAATTATTTTAAAATATTTAAGATACTTGATTTTAATAGTAACTATAAACAAATGATTTAGGAATTTAACAATTTCAAATATTAAGTTAATAATTTATTTATATATATTTGGGAATTAACATTATTACCTGCAAAAACTGATGCAAGAGCAGCAATAAAATATGATAAAGTAACAGCTGGTCCAGCTTTAGTACTAGCAATTTGCCCAGCTAGAACATACATTCCAAGTCCCAGCGTACTACCAATTCCTGTAAAGCAATGTAAAAATTAATTTGTTGAATAAAACAATGTAATTTTTCACAAAAATGAGTTTGCAAATAAGTTTACTACAAAATATAAAAATAGCATTTTAAAACACTACCCCAGAGATTAGTGTTGCCATCAGGCTGGTTTTAAATTCCTGGTCCAGATTAATTATTAATTTGTCTGGTTTTCATAAAAATTGTGAAATTATGACAAAAAATAAATTTATAAAAATATTTGCAATTATTTTGCAAATATTAGGTTTGTTCCAACACAAGTCCCTAACTGGTTTAAAACTGGCATGTGCATTGTTCAGTTATTAGCTGAAAATGACATTGCACATGCCTCATATGGTTTTAAATTCAAACCAGTCAGGAATTTGTGTTTCAACACATCTATTGTAAAGCAAATGTGAGTTTCAGTTTACAAGTTTATAATTTCTATTTTAATTATTTAATATGACAACTCAAGAAATTGAAAACTCAAAAAAGAGGAAGNTTTATCTAAAGACGAATGTAAGTTAGACAAAACTATAACTTTTGTAAGGGAGAGTAGCCTAACTCGATAAAAAAAATCGGGTATGAATTTACAGTTCTTACGAAAACCGTTTAATTTACAAACGTTTACGGTTTATTTTATAAGCCTTCCTCGGGTTTCAAAGTACAAACTTCTGAAATTTCGAAAGTTTGTAGTTTCAAATTCGTGGCAGCTATGACTTACGGTTATGCAAGAACGACAGCTACCCACCGAATGCTTTCAATAGGCAGTTAGTGTAATCGATACAAAAAAGTTGAATTCGCATAAATTTGGACTTTTGTTATTCTAGTCGATATTTAAAATGAAAATCATTCGTTTGGATGCGATTTTAATTTATGCAGCGAGAGAAGTAAGATGTGGGACCCCGCAAAATCTGACTTAATCGTCCAAAGGTTTCACCAGCCTTTTACTGATAACGAGAAAGGCTTAAGATTAAAATTTCAGCTTTTTAGACCCAGTACTGTCTTTTCTCCAGTAGTGTTTGCACCGCGAAACGATGATTAGAATAAGAATTATATATAATAATGAGATCTAAACATGAGTTTGAAAGTAAAGCAATTTGTTGGTAGTGATGTCATTTACAGTGCTAAATTGCATATTTAGTAATTTACGGATAGCAGATAAGTCCGTATTTAATAGCTGTAGGGGCCACCTTACAAGAGGTTTGACTATATTAATATATAATAGAAATGAAAACATCAAGAAAGTAACTAAATTGGTTAGTATAATTGCCAACTGTTTGTCAGTAAATATGGAACCTGTCTTATAAATAGGAAATTAGTATGCGAATGCATATTTACAAGGATTTTAGCTCATATTTATCAGGCATTATCTCGAGACCAATCATTGCGAATGAACGAAGTGGACGGCAGTTTGTTTGTTAAATCGGAAGATCGTCTTGGACAACTATTTGTTTTCGGCACAGTAATGTAAGAGAGCACATAACCATGTATAAAATAAGTTTATTTCAAAGCAATATTGAAATATTATTCTATGATACTTGATAGTTTTAAGTATTTATGCCTTTCACCGTTGTAAAAGTAAACACATTAGTTTTCTTATGTGGATGTGATTTGAAATTTAAAAATATCTATTATCATCATCACGTTCTGTTAGATATATATATATATATATATAAATTTTTGATGGAGAAAACATTAACATCACTGAATTACATACTGTTTTTACAAATCTTAGAAATGTGCAGAGAAATGAACAATGCTTTTACAGTTTTATAGTTAATCAGGTTCTTTTGGATTTTTCACAGAATAAGAAAAAAATATTCAAACAAGAAGTCGATAAGGTGTATTCACAAGCATTGAAATATTTAAATGACTGCTATGATTTGAAAATGCATTTTTTATTTTAGTTCAAAAATTTAATTTAAAAAAAATAATGTTCCAACTATACAAGACTGCTGTGAACTTGATAAATATATAAACAAAACTGACTTCAAAGTAAAAGGTGANTGATGGAGAAAACATTAACATCACTGAATTACATACTGTTTTTACAAATCTTAGAAATGTGCAGAGAAATGAACAATGCTTTTACAGTTTTATAGTTAATCAGGTTCTTTTGGATTTTTCACAGAATAAGAAAAAAATATTCAAACAAGAAGTCGATAAGGTGTATTCACAAGCATTGAAATATTTAAATGACTGCTATGATTTGAAAATGCATTTTTTATTTTAGTTCAAAAATTTAATTTAAAAAAAATAATGTTCCAACTATACAAGACTGCTGTGAACTTGATAAATATATAAACAAAACTGACTTCAAAGTAAAAGGTGATAATGCTTTTAATGAACTTTGCACAATAAAGGAAAGAGTAGGAAATTTGGAGGACAAGTTAAAAGCAGAAAAAAATAATTCACAGTTATGGGCATTTATATTAAAAAAGGAAATTTTCCAAATGTTCAGAGGATAATTGAATTTATACTTAGCATTCCAATTTCTAATGCATATGTTGAAAGATGTTTCTATTCAATGAATAACTTATGGTGGGATAAAAGAAACAGATTAACACCGGAGAATGTTAAAGCTGAACTACTAATTTGCAGTAACACAAAAATTAAATGTAAAAATTTTTACAAAGAAATAAAAAATAAACTTCTAAAAGCAGCTAGGAGCAACCAAAAATTCACTTTTAAGGCAGTAAATAAAAAATAATGTAATGTAATATTTATTTTTATCTTACACATTTT